ACTCGGTTTCTAAACAGAATGTAGAATACTCCTGTTTGTTATAATAAGTGAAAAAATTTTTGCAATGTATTTCACATCTATGACTTTTTTTTTTTTCTCGGGGTAAAAGGAAAGCGCTATAAATTATACTTCTGTTAATTTAATTGCATATTGTCTATACTGCACAAAGATCTTCCCTATCGTTTTCTGCCACGGATCAGTGCAAATCGCGTCTTTCCATTGCAATTATTTTGTCCAACGTTACAGTGCTTGCAGCAGCAAACCAAAATGTCTCCCCAAATCCTGCAAACACATTCCATCCCAGATCCCCGCCAGCGCTCAGGCAGCCCAGCCCCGGCCCAGCGGGTGGCCCGTGGCCAGCGCGGCCGAGGTGCGACCGGGGCCACTGCCACCCGCGGGGACCGAGCCCGGCCCGGGGGACCCGCGGGGACCGAGCCCGGCCCCGGGGACCGGAGGGGACCGAACCCGGCCGGGGGAACCCGAGGGGACAGAGCTCGGTCCGGGGAACCGGAGGGGACCGAGCCCGGCCCGGGGGACCCCAGGGGACCGAACCCGGCCCGGGGGACCCGCGGGGGCCCGGCTCGGCCACTCGCTGACGTCAGCGGCTGGAATAACAGCCACATTTCCTCAGCGCTCCGCTCTGGGGCTGCCTCGGGATGCCACAAAAGTCTGATCGCACAGAGGAGTTTTTATGGGGCTGATGAGACCGATGGTGCAGGGCTGGTGGGATTTTCAGAAAAAATGCCGGAGTATCGCAGTGACTTGGAGAAGCGTTTTGAGTGGATGAGACAACTTTAATCATCACTCCACGTAGCTTAGGCTACTCCTGTCTCTAAGGTTCACCTGGTTTCTGTGCTGGCTCCCAGGGACCCGCGCACAAGGACAGTGCCCGGCCGGCACAGGGCGAAGGAATCCCCCGGTTCTGCTGAGCTCTCGGGGCTGCACCACTGCACCCAGGAGCCGAGCAGCTCCTCCGCTAAAAATAAAACAGGAACGCTGGAAACACATCAGATCCTGCCGTTAGCAGATTGCTTTTGTCCGCTGTGCCTGCAGCAGAACCCGGGAGCCTCGGTCCCTGCTGCTCCCGGCTCCCACCACATTCCACAGCCCCTGCTCTGCGAGAACTCACAAACCCGAGCGGCGCTCACCCACCGCAAGATTTTGCTAAATTTTGAATCTAAAACGCGACTGAACTGAGAAACATCAGCCTCCGTGTTACGCTGGCGTGAAAGCATTCCCAAAATCTGGAGAGGGCAAGGCTTCCCCGCAGCACCGAGGCTTCATGGGGTTTCCTTTCCTTCCTGCGAGGGACGTGTTGCTCCGCGCTGACTGCACAGCAAAACCAAGCCCAGCCAGCGACAAGGAAGGACCCAAAGATGAAGAATAGAAATACATGGCGTGTCTTTTTTTAATAGCACCCAGAAGTGATGCTAAAACAATACCTGACACATCTAAAAGAACAAAAGCCTGAATATTTCTCTTTGTCACCCCAAGCAAAACTTAGAATGCATTAATGAAAAATTATGAAATAGCAGCTGTGGGTGTTTGTTATCTGGTCCCTTGAATAAAAACCTCTTTTAGAGCCTTTATTTCCAAAACTAAAACAGGAATACAATTCTTTCTGTAAGTTATATGCATTGCTTACATATGAAATATATATCCTGAACGGGTTTTTTTCATAACATATCTTTTTTTACTAGCAGCAAGAACTAGGGCAAATCGTTATATAACACTGGGCAGTAAGAGAAAAACAAACCAGAAAAGCACAATTAAAAAAAAACAAAAAAACAAAAAAACAAACCCAAAAAAACAAACAAAAGAAACCAAAAAAGGAATTGCACAAATGGTAAAGAAATGTAGCTAAATACTAATATTTTGTAGTAGAAAGCACTGTTATGAATGATACAATAAGTAAATTCATTTCAGCAAAGAACTAAAATATAACTACCACAAGCCTTCTATTTCTGAAAAAAAAAATAATTCTGAAGGTTTCAGTTTGTCAGAAAGAAAACTTCTTTTAAAGAAAAAAAACACAGTGTAAGTGTAAGGTTCCAAAAGTGCAGCAATTTGGCAAAGTTCTAATTAAAATAAAAGAGATTCTGCTTGACTGGGGCTTGTGAAAGCCAGCTTTCCTTGGTGCCACTGCTCTTTTTTTTTTTTTTTTTCTTAGAAGCCTTGCCATCAAATGCACCTGACCCTCAAAATCCTAAATTTTAGCAAAATAAGTACTTTGCCTTAACTCA